GAGGGGGGGGGGGGGGGTCTTTTCATTTTTATTTCTTGGAAAAAGTGCGTATGTGTGTTTCAGAACAATTAGTTTTTCTGTAATCACCATTTCCTCAAAATGTGACTGTGGATGGATGTATGATTTCCCGGTAATTTCTCTCCCTCTCTCAGAAAAAAGTGGTGGAGCAGTTGAGGAAGGAGTTGCTGGTGAAACAGGAGCCCGACTTTAAGCCACAGACGCTCCCAGCAACCGCAGACGGTAAAACCGTGCTGCTGACGCCCACCTGTCCCCCTTCACAGCCGCCCACAGGGCCTCCACACAACCAGGGGGCGCCACAGGTAGCGCTTCACACCCTGAACACCACACAGTTTCTAGACAAAATGTGTAGAACAGCACTATACTCGGAGGTGATTTGCAGCAGAATATTTACTTAACACTGGTGAGAGGTGAATTCGATTCCTGTACCGCAGCAAAAAATTAGCCGATTAGCTAGTTTACCCAAAAGGTTTATTGAAAAACAATTGCCCTGACTCATCCGCGGTGCTCTATTCTAAAGGCACACACTGTAATTGCAAACACACAAATCTTTGTCCCTGAAATAAGCTTTGAGTTTGTGAAAAAGAAGGGCAGAGTGACCTTAGAATCTTATAAGAGCATGGTTGCTTTTATATGGCCAATAATGTACAATCTCAGCCTTTCTGTTTTTAACTGCTTTTGTTGTGATGAGAGAAGACCATCTAGAGGGAATGTGTGGCTATTTAACATATTTACAATTTTTCATAGAATATATGATAATAATGAAAATATATGAAAATGAACTATTAATATAAATAAAATCCACATGTAGTGGCATTTGCAACCTTTTTTGTTTTTGTGATGTGGCACATTTCTAAGAGAAACTGAATATTCAACAGAAAAAAATTATGGAGTGGGATTAAATTCGTTTTATATTCATTATATATTCTTTTAATATTATTTTGACTTATTTCTGTAATGTAGAGCATTTGTAAGTTAAACTATTAAACTGGAATAATTTATACGGTGGGACTATGTTTTATCAATACTATGCAGTGCTGTCAAATCAATTATTCATATCCAAAATTAGCATTTGTGTTTATATAATATGTGTGTGTACTGTGTATATTTATATATAAATATACACGCATACATGTATATATTTAAGAAATATATGTAATTTATATATAAAATAAATCAAATATATATAATAAAAAAAATATATATATATATATATGAAGAGTTCAGATGCAAAAGCCTCTAAATGCCATCTGAAATTTTCTTCTAAAATGAGCGTTTTTATCAGGCCCCTATATTCATGTTCAGTTATTTCACTTTAATTGCATAGAAAATTACCTATACAGTGCCATTAGAGTAAAATTACTGAACCTAAACAAAGCAGCCTGATAAAAATGCTCAGTTTAGATGAAAATTGCAAATGGCACTTAGAGGCTTTTGCATCTGAACTCTTCATATATATATATATATATACGATTAATTTAATTCCCATTAATCGATTATGAATATTAATTGATGACATTTGGGTGTTAAATACAAGAATGGAGCCAACCCTGCAATATGACTTCGTTTAAACAATGTCTCAATAGCTAATTTGTGATTGGTTAACATTATCTAACAGCACTTGCTCTCTTGGTAACATCAATGGAAAAAAGTCATTTCAAGTTATTATATTTTGATGAAAGGCAAGGACAGGCCATTTTTCTTATATGCACTGATAATTCGTACACAATAACAGCAGAGAAATCAAGTCAATAGCACTTTAACATCTTTTGTGTGTCCTCATCCTCATTCACTGCTTCCTTCAATCAACCTACCTCCCACCTCCTCGACTAGAAGACTCTCACCGTGACGCCGGTCATAACTGCAAAGACTCTACCTCTCGTGCTGAAAGCTGCCACCTCCACCATGCCTGCTTCCATAGCAACACAACGCCCCACAGTCGCCATGGTCACTGCCATCAGCAACCCCCTGAGACCCGGCGTCAATTCCGACTCCCAGAGCACACCAATCAACCTTCAGGTGGCCAACAAGCTACCCAATCAGGACACAGATGCCGGCACACGAATTGTGTCCAAGAATGTTATTGTCGTGAGTGTGAATCCCTAAATCGCTAATCGCTAAAGATTCTTCCTCTTAACTTAGTGTTTCCATTTAGCTTAAATATAACAATGTTAAACTGAAGTAGAAATGCCAGTCTGTGATTTTGCATAGCTTGCTGTAGTCATAGTCAGACCCACTTTGCTTTGATGTGTTTAGAACAGAATGTTTATGTCTCCAGTTAGTATGAAGATTTTAAATGACTTCCTTTCTGACAATGATGTGCTTGGCTGGGGTGTATGGTGACATACTGCTGTGATGAAACCAGATAGAGGATAATTTCCTCTAAATGTTGTGAATTTCTCCATTTCAACTGCTGAGTGCCCAATAAACGGCTGGTTTTGTCACAGGTCACCACCACCTCTGCCCAGCCTATCAAAGTTCCCCAGTTTGTCCCTCCTCCTAGATTGACGCCTCGACCCACCTTTCAGCCACAGGTGCGTCTCTGTTAGACCTGCCCCCTCCCGTTATGTATGTGCAGTCCCACACTGACGCCACCAGAGGGGCACACAACCTAGTTTCAGAGGCCTTGTGTCTGTAAAGCCTTTGTTTACAGACATTCTGATTCAATATATTTTTTAACTTCTCATCTTGAAAGAGTTTTTAACATGGTAACTAAAATTGCTCGAACACAATCACCCAAACTTCAAGACATCACTGTTCCACACTTAAGAGACCCAAATTCAGCTTTTTTCCTCATAATAAAACTGACGCTCACCTTCTCCTTCCCAGCACTGACTGTTGCTGTGATACTGTCTGCTCCTATTTTTTTTTTCTCTTTGCTTTAGGGTTCTTACACACTAGATTTTACACTCTGTTAGAAATGCTACAAGTCTGTTGATATCAGTTGGGGATATTGTGTTAAAAAAAAAGATTTAAAAAAACAAAGGTTTGCGAAAGTGATGCTCAGTCATGCAACCTAGAACTTTTGCTTTGAACTCTGACCTAGGCATCTGTTGACCAATCAAAATTCAGTCCACTGTAGTACTGCTCTGTTTTGAGCTGGCCTGCTTCTGTCTAAAATCTCTAATGGTCCGTTTCCACTGAGCGGTACGGTTCAGTACAGTACGGTAAGGTACGCAATTATGTCTGTTTCCATTGTCAGAAGTTGTGAATGGTAGCAAAATAGCGAACCCTACCATACCACTTTTTTGGTACCCTTCCGTTGGGGTACCTAACACAGCAAAGGGTACCAAAGGGGTGGGCTAAACTCACCGCAGAAAGTTGATTGGTTGACTAGAATCTTTACTTTTGTGTGATACAAGGGGATAAAGCTTCTCCTTCACTCGTTCCGCTCTGCTGTCCATGAGTGTCGGGCAAAACACAAAAAATATAACTGTATTTTATCATTTAATATTTTCACACAGACTATAGCTGTTTCTCAATATGCGCTCTTGTCTGTTCTTGTGGACTTGTCATTGAAACGTCATTGCCCAAAAACCAGCGTAGTTTTCCAAATATTACTGTTATCGTGAAATGTAGTTTTAAGAGTTTTTCAGGCGAGAATGTAATTGCTTAACTCAAATCTGTGGTTTGTTTATAAAGATAGTGCCTATTTGAAAATTTGCTATGCCGATTTCAGAGCTCCAGGTGATCACCGGGCACTCAGTGCTCATGTATCCGCATAGAGCAGCCTTTGTTCGGCTTGTCCTTCTGACATTTGCCGCTGGCTCTGATGTCTCTGTAGTGATTAAACATGAGATGCAATTAGTTTTGGATATATTTAACAGGCATTCGTGGTCTCATGAATCTATTATTTGTTCCTGGTCATATCGTTTTGGCTGAGCACAAAGTTATGTTTAACTATATATTTATTTTGAACTTCACCGTAGTAAAGTACAGCACTGACTTTGTAGCATACGTTTGACTGAATTGTTTGCTTTTGTCTTTATTTCCGCTTATATAAGCCTCTTATACTTTGTACTTATACTTTTATAATGGCTATTATTGTTCATTAAAACTGACATTTAACAAAAAGAGGCAGCGTTGTGCTTATTGTCACGCTTTATCGTTGATCGCTACTTTCCGGCATACACCACACCTATCAAGTAAGGGTACTGTTGGCAGTGGACACGCAAGCTGGATCAGGGTGTTCGGTCCCGAATCGTACTGTACTGACCCGTACTGCTCAGTGGAAACGAGCCATAAATGCATTCCTGTCTGTCAAATGCTCCATTACAGCTTTATCTAGTGTGTAAGCTCCCTTAAGCACCGTGTCTATACTGGAAGTGACCCATAAGTGCCATCACTCAACGACTTGAGGTGCATGACCCCTTCAACAACAGTTGTTTTAACATTTGGGTGAATAACTCACCAGAAGTCCATTGGTATAAAAATGTAACTTCTGTATGTTCATTGCTTATGTCTGGTGTAGACACGGTGTTTCAGAGTAAGACAGCGTGTTGCTGTTTGTTCCTTTGTAACAATGCTGTTGCTTCAGTTCTTTGATATTGCTTTGGCTGACCCTGTCATTAACCCCCCACCTTCCTTAAAGACTGACAGTATATCACCTTTTACCTCAAAAAGCTATGTAATGCTAAAGCAAGCTCAGATGAATCCACTTGAACCAGACATTTACTTACCCTTATATCGTTCCAAACTTGTTTGACTTGGGGTGTGTTCACACTTGTCACGTTTGGTTCGATTAAAACAAACTCTGGTGCAATTTCTCTGTTAGTGCGGTTCATTTGAGTAAGTGTGAACACTGCCATCCGAACACTGGTGCGCACCAAACAAGTGGACGAGACCACTAAAAGAATGGGTCTTGGTTCACTTCCAAATAAACTCTGGTGCAGTTCGAATGAAATATGTAAGCAACATGGACCAAATACTTCTAAACAAACCAAAAACAGGATGTAATGACAAGAATGCAATGCGACATGATTTGACATCGAGAAACGAGCGGTTTATCCAAAACAAGGGCAAACGTGGAGCAACGAGTAGGTAAAATGCTCTTTGTGAGTTTGCAGGTCATAAAAGTAAAATCATGTACAATCAACAATGAGCACGCTTAGTCCAACCATTCGGTTTATTCAACATAAAGCGGAGCTGAGCAGTACTTTGGGTACTTTGATGTCATACACCGATTGGTTTGTGCAGCGCCACTTTAAGTCGAACACACCTATTGTTTGGGGTGTTCATTAAAGGGATCATATGATGCAATTTCAATTTTTCCTTTCTCTTTGGAGTGTTACAAACTTTTGGTGCATAAAGAAGATCTGTAACATTACAAAGACTAAAGTCTCAAATCCAAAGAGATATTCTTTATAAAATTTGAGACCTCCTAAAACGGCTCATTTAAACACGCCCCCACATGTCTACGTCACTGTGTGGGAAAATTTGCATAACACCGCCCAAATGTTCACGGAAAGAAAGAAGGCGTAACTTTTATTCTCACTGTAGTTATTGTTATAGAGCTGATCCGTGCTGATCGCTGAGGAAATACATCAACTCCGCGCTGTTGATTGTGGGATCTGCTTTCACCGTGGACGCGGAGTCCAGCCCGGGGTCGTCACATGTGGTTGCCGCATGCCTGCCGGCCGATCCTTCATCGAATCCGCCGGCTGTGCTGTTCTCAAGGCCGCTGGCCTCCGCTCACTCATGCCCGCCGTGTGTGACGCTGTGTGACGCATTTTATGGAAGACTGTTTCCTGAACCTGCAGAGTAGCATACAATGGTTCTGTGTTCTATAAAGTGGGGCAGTTCCAACTTTGCAAGGACAGTCTGGAACTTCTGACTTGCAGCCTGTAAGTACATTTTTTAAATGTAAAGAATTTGCCACTGATGATTCAAACGCGGGTAGCGTTTGTTGTTTCTCCGATCACAAATGCAGATATGGTTTTATGTTTACGCGGCGCGATACGCAACGCAACGTGTAAAACCACAGTACAAGTCATTATAATCAGTAATTATGTCCCCACTGGATGCAACAAATGCCTCGTTTGTAATGGGTTTTATTGGTTTTGTCTCGCCGTGCTGGGAGACGGCATCACAGTCTGATAAGGGGCGTAACATTTCCGTCACACGCTTGAGGTATTCAGCCAATCACAACGCACTGGATAGCTGGCCAATCAGCGTACACCTCACTTTTCAGAACGATGAGCTTTGTAAAAATCGACGCGTTTCAGAAAGGTGGGGCATAGAGGAGAAACAATAATGTACATTATTTTTACCTTAAACCGCATAAACACATTGAATTACACCAAATACACAACATAATGTTCTTTTTAGCAACGTCATATGACCCCTTTATGTTCCATCACGAAATATGTCATTCAATGATCAATCAGGTTGTGAACATATCACTATGCCTTTAGGTTTGGTATCTTTATGTTCGCTGTCAAAAATGCCAGTGTAAACGCTAAGCGGACCAGGACCAAATGTATATTTTTCTTTTTTTTGGTCCAGACCAAACGAACCAAGAGAACCAAACTACAAGTTTGAGCACACCCTAACTTTCTTATGTGGGCAACTCTGGCCCTCAAAGTCCACTGTCCTGCAGAGCTTTGCTCCCACCTCAATCAAACACCTGAACAACTAATCAAGGTCTTTAGGATTACTAGAAAGTTATAGGCAGGTGAGTTTGATCAGGGTGGGAGCTAAACTGATGGACATTGTAGGCCAGAGTTGCCCACTCCTACTGCTGGTTTGTTTTGATGTTCCTAAATTGAGCTTTGCACACATTTCCATCCACTTTTAAACTAGTCACTGAGGGGTGAACCAGAGCTCAGTGTTAGCATTACTTATGGCTGAGGTTGCCTTTTAACACAAAACAGCATGGATGTTAGGGGCATGGAATCAGAGTGGCTTTCATGATCGATTGGTTTGGCAAGCCTCTGTCTGCTTTCTCACCCAACCCCATTCCACCATTGCACAGGTTCGACCAAAACCCCCCATGCCCATCAATGTACCCATCGCTCCAGCTCCTCCTCCCATGGTGGCGGCTCCCCTAATCCAGCGGCCCCTGATGCTCACCACCAAGCTTACGTCATCTTTGCCTGCCTCTGCTGGGCCCATTCACCAGGTGCACATCGTGAACGGACAGCAGTGTGCCACCATTGACAAGACCATGACTGCAGTCACGAGTGGCACCACGAAAGTCACAGGCATCGTCATCAGTCCTGCCCAGACACTTCAGATCAGCAACCTTAACTCAGACTTGAAGGTGAGCGCACCCGTTTCTATTAGCTTGATTGTTTGCTCCAGACATGCAACATTTTTCAGACAAATCTTTTTTTTATCTTATAGGATAGGTTTAACTTTTGTTCTTGCACTAAGAATCAAACAGCTTGACTGGGTTGCTTATCTTTTTTCTTGTTCGCTGCGTCAGACTGTGAAACCACAGGGAAGACCAGAACAGGTGGTCACGAGTAAACCACCCTCATCCTCTCCTCCTCTTCCAGCTAAGATCAAACGAGAGGAGAGCCCACAGGTACTGGTACCTTCACAGAGTTAACAAAACCATCATGTCTGACAAATTTTGCCTGAAGCCTAAATAATAAACTAATAAATTTTCTTCCTTCAGAAACTTGCCTTTATGGTGTCTCTTGGGTTGGTCACACATGGTCATCTTGAAGGTAAGTCCCACTGGTGTCAATTCTGCACTGTGGATTTCCATTAAATTAAAGTTACAAGGACAGGATGTGTTTAACCAGATGTGCATGGGATGTCATTGCTCTCCAGAGATTCAGAGTAGAAGACAAGAACGTAAGAGGAGAACAACAGCCAACCCAGTGTACAGTGGAGCAGTGTTTGAACCTGAGGTACAAACAAATGTTCAGAAGTTCCCTCCTCCATCTGTTCTGATTTTGAGAGCTTAGATTGAACTTCCAACTTGGCTCTAACATTCCGATTTCTCTCATATATCTCAGAGGAAAAAGAGTGCTGTCACTTACTTGAACACTCCACTGCATCAAGGCACCAGGAAGAGAGGTCTGTACCTGCCTGTCTTAGTTGCTTAAGTTGATGTATTGTAGCCCTGCTGCTTCTGTGTACCACCTAACAGACACCTAATAGACACCTCTCTGCTTTCTCTTGCAATTCTGCTTTGTCTTTGCTAGGGTCTGATCTCTTTGCAGACCTACATCATTTGAGTAGACCTAAAAAGTGGGCTGTAAAAGTGGTGGTTAAGGAACCTCTTCCCCAGTTTGTATAGTTTCCAGAGAATTTGGCTTATTTTGGACTTGTTAACATTTGACTTAAGACTCCAAAATGTCAGTTGGCTTACAGGGAGAAATGTCATCTCAGTGTTGGTTCACTTCAGATTTGAGTCTCTTGTGCTCTGTGCTCTTTGCACTCTTTTTTATTTTAATTTTTTTACTCTTTTAGAATATCTTGTTATTTTCTTGTGATTTCTAGAGCTGTGCTTCAACATAATGGATTTAGCTTGATTTGACCTTGAAAATCTTGACTAGGTCTTCACCCCAAAGACTTGAGGATTGACTTGAGCTTGGCCTTAAAATACTTTATATGAACTCTACCTCAAAGACTTGAGTGTTGACTTTAAGCTTGGCCTTGAAAGACCTGACTTGGATACCACCTTAAATATTTGAGCGTTGATACTGTTGAAAGTTCTTTACTTGGACTCTACTACTTGACTTGAGTGCTGATGTGAGTAGGTCGAATTAGGTGTGTAAGTGAGAGTTTGTCTGTTGGTTCTCTGGTTGTCATGTTACCTTTAGATGTTATGTTTATATTTATTGTTTTGCTTATTTTAGAGTGCATGATGCATTGCTTGTTCCTGTAGGAGCCACCTGCAGAGAAATCTATTGAGATTTGAGATTAGATTTCAGTGTAGACTTTCTCTCTTTTGTTCTTTCTTTCGCTCATTGCTTTTCAAATTCCCTGCATGCTGCTGTGGTCGTCTGTTGCACTAACTGCTTTTTGTGACCCTCCCTTCCATTTCTCCTTCGCTCTCTCCCTCCTTTCCTTTGTTTCCATGCTAGCCAATGAGGATCCCCTCTCTAAGGTATGTTGCAACCAGAAAATGCCATTATTTTATTTCATCTTTGTGTTTTTTTTCTTTCTTTCTTTTCCCCTTTTCCTCCTCCTCCATTTTTCTGTTCCTTTTTTTTTTGGTTTGTTTTTCTTTTCTTGTCTGTCTCATTTCACTCAGGTCGCCCTCCCAAATACAGCACCACCACCACCAGCAGCACAGCGGTGCCGGAGCTGGGCTGCAACCCCCTGCTCTCCCCCACCAGCAGCCTTCCCGCCTCCCCAGCCCCTGAGCGGCCTGACACGGGGGGCTTTCCCCTCTCTGTCCACCCTCATTCTGTCCCCCAGCCCAGCCCCAGCTCTGGGGATGTAAGTAGCCACCTGCCAAGTCTGGGTGACCATGTTGTTGAAAGCCCCCACAATTATTATTGTTCTAGTAGAGTTCTCTACACCACAGGCTGCCCCTGCCCCTACCCCCCAAAACCCTTCACTGCATTCATCCTGTACACCTCAAAATGTACAGGAGCAAGGTAACTCCTGTTAGAGTCCAGCATCCACCCTGGAAAGAGAAAGACTGACCTACCAGCACTGTTATTTATGTGTTTATTTGTTTTATTTGTTGAAATGGAGCCAGCAGTCTTACAGAGTGAACAGTCTTTCTCTACTTCCCACACAAATATCAGGCCTGAAGTAATCATAGTATAGTATTTTTTTTTATTCTTACACCCCATCTTAGCATTTAAGCCAAAATAACCATTGCTTATAATGACATGATACATTTTCAATAGTGATTAATTTCCAATAATCCCAATAATAGTAGTAGTGATAAAACTACGAGCTAAATATCCAGTTCCCTGTCTAAGTGAACAATCCAGTCACCAGTGAGCCACTAGACAAATACCTCCAAT